GTGAACATTTGGGCAGCGTTATGCAAGTCTTCCCACATCGTGACGTAGGTATGTGGGGGCGTGTTTAAACGAGGCGTTTTAGGAGGGCGTGGAGTCTTAACTTTTATAAAGAATATCTCTTTGGGTTTGAGACTTTAGTCTTTGCAACTTTAGGGATCTTATCTATTCACGAACATCTTGTAACACTCCAAAGAGAAAAGAAAACTTGAAATCGCTTCATATGACCCCTTTTAAATAAATGGCCATATTGTAGTAATGCATTGCCTCATTTTATTTAAAACGGGGTACTAATTTGTTCCCTCATTTTAATTTAGTTATTCTAAGTCTTGTTCATGATTTAAGTAAAACAAGGGAACAAATTAGTATAATGTGGCCACAATGTACCTTAACCGAGGGAACAAATTAATAAGTCAAAGGAACAAATTCTTAATTCATGGACATGATATCTTGTTTTCGTCCCCCGCATGTCATATGTGGGGCTCTGTATTTTTGAGACATTGTACCATTCTTGGAGCAGCATGTAAACACCATTCTACAAGAATATTTAAATTATTATTATGGTACAAATCAAAAATACTATAGTATTACCATCTGCTACCACCACTGCACATTCTTGTAAATGGTAAATAAGTAGCCACATTGTACTAATTTGTTCCCTCATTTTAATTAGTTACTGTAAGTCATTGCCATGATTTCACTAAAACAAGGGAATTAATTAATACAAAGTATCCACAATGTACCTAAAACAAGGAAACAAATAAATAAATCATGGGAACAAATTCTTAATTCATGATCACAACATCTTGTTTGATGTCCCCTGCATGTCATATGCAGAGCTCTGCATTTTTTATACATTGTATAGAGTATATAAAAACCATGCTACATCAATATTTTAATCATTTAGTACCATGTTATTACCATCTGATACCATCATTGTACCTTGTTACAAATAGCTTGTAGAAGCTAAATAAGTGGCTACATTGTACTAATTTATTCCCTTGTTTTAATTTAGTCACTGTAAGCTGTGACCATGATTTAACTAAAACGAGGGAACAAATTAATAAGACATGGGAGAGTATTCAGTCACACTTTATTTTAAGGTCCAATTCTCGCTATTAACAAACCATTAACTACGACTTTTGCCTCAATAAACTCCTAATTTGCTGCTTATTAGTAGTTTGTAAGGTAGTTGTTAAGTTTAGGTATTAGGTAAGATTAAGGACGTAGAATATGGTCGTGCAGAATATGTGCTTTATTAGTACTAATAAACAG